GTATGAATTATTTGTGTTGTTATTACAAGTGTTGCTGTGACCCCCTAGGAAAAGGTTATGCCCCGCCCTGTATATACGTGTGTGTATGTATAGATAGGTAAGTAGGTAGCTGGGTAGCTGGGTGGGTGGGTAGGTAGGTAGGGAGGGAGAGAGGGAGAGGAAGAGAGAGAGAGAGAGAGAGATAGATAGATATAGATGCGCTTAATGTTCTTACAGAAAAAGAGAAAATTAAATATACATCCCTGAAACTGCTTCTGGACTTTGTGTTTGAGGGGGGGGAGGGGGGAATGAAACTTTGTTTTGGGTTTTACTGATTAGATTTTCTGATTAGGTTTGCTGTTATAGAAAGCTTAGCTAGTTTATGCTATTGTGTAAAAGTAAAAAGTTTTGAGGTTTGATATTATCTTATAAGGGAGTCCGAAGTTAAGGGCTTTTCTTTCTTTTTCCTCTAATTTTCCTACACTTCCCCCTTCCCTTTCCCTCCCCTATTTTTCCTACTTATTTTCTTTGTACTTTTGTATTTTATACAATAAACTAATAAAGAAAAAATAAATTATAAACTAATAAAAAAGGAAAAAAGAAATATCCATGTGCAATATTTATATCCACAACCATTGTGTAAACAAAGCTAGAATTTCTTTCCCCATATAAGGAAAAAGAAGGATAGCTTTTGAATTCCTAAAGTTGCTGCACAGTAAGTTGCTTGTCAGTTCTGTCTGAACTACGTGCAAATAAAAAGAAGTTTAATTATTCAGTTCAGACTGGAACATCAGCCTGAGTTCTCCCTTTTTTTTGCTCATATATTTTTGGGCATAACTTTTTAAAAATGAAGCCAGTGACCAGTGACATATAAATCACATCTTGGTTCCCAGATTTCTTTTTATCTGCTGTAACTAGACACTTTTTTTAGATTCACTAATATTCAAATTATACATTTAAAATCCTGAATGGAAGTTGCTTGCCTGGTGAGGCTCTCTAGGCTCTCAAATCTGTTGTATACTGCTTTTCTTTAAAAAAAAAACTATATTGCACATTTTCTCTAATTTTCTTTTGATTTAATCCCCTTCCCTACAATACACTTCTCAAGCCCCATATTTGAGACTGAAAAATATTTGAAATCTCTCTAATAGACTATGACCTTGAATATTTAAAGATTTGCTGGTTATTTCGCACAAAATTAGCCTTTAAAATACAGGGTTTAAAGAACATTCAAATAAATTTTACCATTACAGGTGGTCCTTGAGTTACAACAGTTCACTTAGTGACAGGTCAAAGTTACAATGGCATTGAAAAAAGTGATTTTTGACCATTTTTCACAGTTATGACCATTGCAGCATCCCCATGATCACATGATTTCACTTTGGATGTTGGACAACTGGTTCATATTTATGACAGTTGCAGTGTCCCAGAATCATGCGACCATCTTTGGCAACTTTCTGACAAGCAAAGTCAATGGGGAAACAAGATTCACTTAACTGTGTTACTAATTTAACAGCTACAGAGATTCACTTAACAAATGTGGCAAGAAAAGTTGTAAAATGGGGCAAAACTCACTTAACAAATTTCTCACTTATCAAGAGAAATTTTTTTGTGGTCATAATTTGAGGATTACCTGTACTGCAGTGTCCTATGAGCATTTTTCAAAGTGCTAAAAAAATAGCCTCATTCATTGTGGTGTATTTCTTAGTTTATATTGAGAGGTAATTAAACATCTTAGTTTAGGCTTAAGAGAGAGAAGCAGAAAAAGATTTACAACTCCTGATCTTACCGCCAGAGCAAAAAAAACCGAGGAAAGCTGTTGATGTCCATGAACAAGATTTAGAAAGAACCTGAAGTTCTGTACATTCACCATCTCTGGTTTTTTTTTTCCTTCCAAAATTGACAGTGCTTCCCATGTCATAGTTTCCCTCGTGGAAAAGTATCCTAACTATGTGATCATTAATCTGGATAAGGTAAGACTGTTGGTTTAAATTAAATGAGTCATTTTTAAGCAGTACCTAAAAAGAGCTGTAGTGTCAAGCTGACAACATGGTAGGAGAGAAATCTAAGCTTCTAAGGCTGTATAACCTCATCTAAAGGTTGGTGTGCTAATAATGATTCAAGTGGATGAATTTATATATCTTTATAACTGAGCATACCTGTGAATGCTGCATCATACATGCAAATAAAAGAACAAGCTCCGCTTCTGAATAAAAATTTGTACTCAGTTTCTAAAAACTGAGAAGACTGCTAAAGTTCATAGCAAACCTGTTCATTTTGAATGGTACAATTGAATGGTACAACTTATATGTTACATTAAAGGTGGAAAAAATTCTGATGTGATTTGTCTTTATTGCATCTCAAAAACCTGGCATTTTAATAAGATACTAGACTTTTTGTATCCACTATATAACTTTACCCAGAAATTGTGACAGTTGTGGCAGTGGGATATCAGCATTCTTACCTGTGAAACCAGAAAGCTTTTAAAAAAACTGCTTCTGTAAAAGTTGGAATTTTTGGACTAAAGGATTTAGTCTAAAAAAAGTCTTGCGTTTAGCAACTTCTCATGTAAAACACTCATTTTCTCACTCTCTCTTTTTCTTTTTTTGTTAAGCTGGACTACTGTGCAAGCTTAACAAATCTTAAGACAGTTTCTGAGAAAGAGAACTACAAATTTGTTCAGGTAAACTCAACTTTTTGCTTTTATTAGTTTTTTTAAAATCAGATGACTACATCTTCAGTTCTAGCATATTGGGTGGCTTGACAAGACATAGTTGACTCAAATTAGACAACAAGAGTGATCATCAGGGTTCACCGACAAATGCGCGCCCGACAAATGCGCACCGACAAAACCACCGTGACAAAATGGCGATGTTGAAAGCGCGCCCACTAAAGCGCGTTGACAAATGCGTGCCGACAAAAGCGCGCCATCAAAAACAACGTGAAAACAACGTTAACCCTAATCCTAACCTAAAAACCCTAATCACGGTTTTGTCGGCACACTTTAGCGGGCGCGCTTTCAACTTCGCTGTTTTCTCACGGCGGTTTTGTCAGCGCACATTTGTCGGGCGCACATTTGTCGGGTGACGATCATCAGTGGTTCCTGATTATAGTGAAACAAGATCTCAGGTAGCTGCCATATTCCTAGCACATGGTCGTCAGAAGATTTATTAATAACTTGAATGAAAAGATGGAGAGGTTGATTAATAAATTTGCAGATAACCAAGAATTGAATGAGAAAGTTACTATATTAGGACAGCTGTACAATATAATTCTAAATGATTTGAGTAAATTTGAGAGTTGGGTTAAAAGTAAAACGAAAGTGAATAGGTAAAGACAAAATACTTCACCTTGAATACAAGTCAAATGTACAAAAATAGGAGGGGGGATACTGGCTTGGTAATAGCAATAGCTTTCAGGGGAATAGTAATAGCTTTCAAATTAAATTTGAGTCCGCAACATCATGTGGTAACTAAAACGGCAAACACAATTTTAGGTTGTTTTTACCAGAAGTATAATTTCCAAATCATGGACGAGAATTGTTCAGTTTTGCTCTGCTGTGGTCAGACTACACTTTGAATACCGCGATCAGTTCTGGACATTGTATTTTAAGTATCCCCCAAAATTGGAAACATTTCAGAGAATTATTGATGATTATAATCAGTGATATGGAAATCAAATTAAAGTTCTGATTATATTTAGTTTTGATAGAAGTTTGGAGAGAGCAGAGAGAACAGAACGGTGCTAATCCTAATTTAGATTCCTGTACTAAGCAAATTGGAATTGGTGTAAAATCTCTCCTTCCAGCTCTCTGATTCTACTCTGCAATTGTTATAAGATGAAAACTGAGATGAAAGCCTGTAATTTTCCATAAGATTATATACCAATTACATATCAAATGCTTACCATTGGAAAAAATAGCTTGCAGTCCCTTGCTGATTTTATATTTCTTTTTTTCTTTATTAGGGAGACATCTGTGAACCCAATTTCATGAAAGAATTATTTGAGACTGAGAAAATTGATATAGTGTTACATTTTGCAGCTCAAACGCATGTAGGTGAGCATGGCATATCCCTGTAATTGTCACCATCTTGCAGGATTGATAAAGAATTCTTCAATAGCTTCCAGGTTTTGTGGAAGGGACAGAGCTAATGCTTCATGTAATAAGTTACGTATTATGATGTGGCTGGTGGTGGAGACTTAAATATTTCAGTTTGCCAGTTGAACTCTGTTGAAGTGTAGATTATATAGATGAAGTAGAGCAATTTGTACGCAGACTGTTTTGGTCATTATAATTTTAATTTGGCATAGACTTAAATCTAAGTGCAGCACAGCCTTATTTTTCATGCAATTTAGTTAGGTTGCTGCTACATTTACTGGAATATTTGAAAAATATTACTTTTTAAAATAAGGTTCTCAATTCTTATGGTTATGGAAAGGGAATTAAATATGTACCAATTCATAAAAGAAATTTTTTTGAAAGGACCATGGCTGCATCTGTCACAGACATTGCACTTTTTAAGATCAATATGATTAATTCTGCATTAGATTCTGCCCTGCAATAATAATTTTAAATATAGGTTTTTCCTGTTTGTCTGCTATTAAGTCTGACAATCGATTTTAGAATATCTAGCTATTCAACCTAAAGTGCTATGTGTTTATTTAAATCTTTATTTCTGGCTTTTTAATTTTTTTAAAAACCAAGACAATCTCTCCCGAACATAAGCATAAAACATTATTTAAATGTAATAAAGCTATTAAGTGTAAGCTCCACTTATCTAGACTTCCAGTATTCTCTTAACATATGTGTCTGAGGCATTATCTAGGATTTCTTTGCCCAAGGTTGGGAGGCTTATGAACCTCTCTCTTCACAAAGAAAAAGGAATGCGTTTTTTTTTTTTTTTGCTTTATGCTTCTGTGGGCTGTCAGGTTGCAGCTTTAACATTTTTAGAAGCATTTTGTTGGGTGATGTTTGGGGTGTAAATAACACATTTTTCTATCAGCATTCTGTTAGGACTGTAATTGTTTTCAGTTGTCAAAGTGACACCCTCTTTATTATTTTTGACTGAAAATGCAGATCTTTCATTTTGGCACAAACTTGAGTTCAACTATGTTAATGTTTATGGAACATACATTCTGCTTCGGGCCGCTTATAAGGCTAATGTGGAAAAGTTTGTATATGTCAGCACTGATGAAGTTTATGGAGGAAGTTGTGATAAGGTGAGCTATTATTGGTTGAAATCTCTTGCCCTTTTTTTTTTCCATGTGTGGTTCTGAATGATTTTACAGCTCCAAACTCTTGTAAAGAAATTATACCAATATTTTAAATCCTTATGTTGTTTTCTATTTAAAAAGGCACTGAAGATGCCCATTTGTGTATATACTTATAGAACATTTCCTGATTGTAATTTGACGTAGAAGTAAGCAGAACAAATTATGAGTTCAGGCAGTCCTGAGGTTACGACAGTAGTTGGAACCAGAATTTCCATTGCTGTTGTGATGTTGTGACCACATCAGTTAGCAACGGCAGTTCTGGCCATTATTACATGTGGGTCATTAGGCAAAGATCTCACATGATTGTGACTTCCCGCTGGCATCTCCATTGACTTTGTTTGTGAGAAACTGGCAGGGAACATCAAAAATCACAATCCTGTAACTGTGGCTCAGTATGGTGGTCAGAACTCTCAGGACCGGTCATATGTACCATTTTTTTCACCATTGTAACTTTGAACAGTTGCTGAATGAATGGTCATAATCTGAGAACTACTTGTATATATTTTGCAACTGGATACTTAATACTTGTGGCTGGTATTTGAGTTACTTGTGCTAGTTAACTGGAGCCATGTGTAATTCACCACTAACTCTGCTAAAATTTACTTAATGTAAACTTCTGCTGCAGGAATTTGATGAATCTTCACCCAAACAACCCACAAATCCTTACGCGAAATCTAAGGCAGCTGCTGAATGCTTTGTCCAATCTTACTGGGAAAGATATCAGGTGAGCATAAATGACATTGGGGGATTGTAAAAGCTTTTATCAATTATCTCTTTGTGTCTAAAGGGATGTGAATGCATAACAAAAGGTAGTGATTTGTGCCATAGAGCTGGGAAGGGTAACTTGGAGGCCATATTTATTAGGAGGAGGTTGGAACCCACCTCAACCTTATCCATACGCCAGCGTGAGGTTGTGGCTTTTGTTTAGCATGGAGAAAGAGCTGGGCATTTTAAAACTGTACGAAAGGTTTTTTTTTAAGTTCATACTATAGTTTTCTACTATTGTTTGCCTCCCAATGGGGAGAAACCATGCCCCTAATTTTTAACAACTTGTTTGGAAGCAGATTTAGAAATTAGGTGTAGCTTGGGAATCCTAGATTGCTCGCCTGATTTTAGAAACCAGCTTGTTCCTTGGACTTTCACCTTTAATGTTAGGTGCAGTGGATCAAGTTAGATCCTTCTGCTAAATGTGCCATTTTAATCTCAGCTTTTCTGCCTTAGCAATGTATGTCTTTTTGTTGTTGTGTCGGCAAAAAATAATGGGTGAAGTCAGGCATTACCTGAGTGCAGTTGGACAGCAGTCTACTTAATATCAGTGCTAAATTTGGATGATGAAATGTCCACAAGATGACAACCAAGCTCAGAGAGTTATCAACGACCCTTCATTTCAATCCTAAACTACAAATATATTGTCAAACCTGCCACAAACATATACAAACAGTAGAAATGATGAGAAAGATATAGTTTTATTAGAAGTGAAGTGCATTTCAGTAGTGCATAGCCAGAACTGAGATTTGTGTGCCAAAATCCCTAAGTTCAACTTTTCCCGCCATTAACTGCCTTGCATTGCTCATCCCCCATAACCAATCAGGCTCAAACAAATTGTTTTCAGAATGGTCACTTCAAGTGTAGGTTCATATGCAGCTGCATTCTTCTCCCAGCCGGGTGACCTTAAGCAGCATCTCAGGGAGATACAGCAGTTAACTACTATTGCTTTTCCCCAAGCATCCACCCTCCCCAGAGTCCATGGCAAATTGTCACCGTATAATTGTGACGCACAAGCAAGCATTAAGGTGGCAGCTGACATATTCTCTTTTATTGATATCAGTCCTTAGCAGTAGAATCTGAGGAAGCAAAAACTATAAGGGGATTGTTGCTTTTCTGGCAATAGAAATTATGCCATTAGGAATGGGTTTAACTGGATATCACTCATGTTAGGTCATTAATAGCAGTTTTGACTGGGTTCATTTAATACAGTTGTCATGTGTACGTTAAAGTTTCCAGTGGTTATCACACGGAGCAGCAACGTTTATGGACCCCATCAGTTTCCAGAAAAAGTAAGTTAAATCAAGATCTTATTACTTTTTAGTTTCTTAAGCTTTTATAGTTTATCATGGAATTATCTCATATTCCATGAAAAGTGACAAACTGTATACTCTTTTTAGGAAAATTCATGATGTGACCAAGATATAATAAATAGACTTGTTCAGGTCAATCTTCTCATATACCTAAGGTATTTTTTTAAATCCACAAAATGTACCAAAAGATAATTATCCAAAGACTTGACCATTATGAGATAACTGCGCTTAGATTAGTGTATTTGCCATTTTATGTCCAAAATACAGTTTTGAGATTTCTGATGGGTAGAGGTTGAAATATTTACAAAGCCAACTGGATCTCTGATTACTACATTTTTAACTTCCAATTGTTTTGGAGTGGGATGTGACCTAACTTGCCTGCTGGCCATCCTTGAGCTAGAAAGTGGCAATGTTGGACTTTTGTGACTCTCTGTAACTGATAATTGCTTACAGGAGAATTTGTCTTAGTGTTATCTTCAATAGCCCAATTAAATAACAATTTTGTGTCTAGCCTATACTTTGAGGTTTTAATTTACAGAATGAACAGCATGAATGTTGCAACCTAGCTCAAGTTTCTAGTATGTGAAAATGGGCTTTGCTTGCTTTGAGAATTCCAGATCGATAAGGAGTGCTCTGTTATGGTTTGATGCTGCACATGCAGCCCCTTTCTCTCCTCCAGCAGCATCATTGTGCAGATGTGTGACTGTTAATTGCCATTGCATTTCCCTTTAATCAGCTGCCTTAAGAGTTGAAACAAGGCTTGAGGTTCTTCTCATTCCGCCTCATGCACGCAAAGCACTTCTTGATACCATGTGCATAACTCAGTGCAATTTTTTGATGGAAGGTAGGGACTTTTATATTTATTGGTAGTGTCAGGCTTGCCCCAGCTAGGAAAGGAAGACCCTCGACTCCACTTAGCCATGAAGTGATAAGTTCATTTACTAAGGAGTAGTGGTTGCAGCAAAAACAAGGCTAGATCTAAGGTTCCTGCACAAAAGGTTACAGATTTTCCCTTTCTTCCCCCTTGATCGGTTTGTCGTGGTCCATATAGGTGTTTTGGGAACCACTTGGGTGTTTGGTGCCACTTGGTGCAATTTGCATTGTTTCCCAGCCTCCAGGGCTCTGAAGATTGGAAGAAGCTGGTTCTCATATCTAGTTTCCATCAAACCTGTCTCACACACACACACACACACACACACACACACACACACCGCACCACATCTTTTTAGGTCATCTCTACCTTCTACATGCCAATTGCCTACTTTGTCTCCCCCCCCCCCCACAATCGATTGATTGTAGGATGTCAGCGAAGCGCCAAGCTAAAGATGGCAGATCTGACAGCTAGCATTAATGAAAACTTACTTGCAGCAATGAAGCTGCATCATTTTCTGTTTTAAAGTAGTATGAATTGTAATAATTGTTCATTTTGTCTTTTATATTTCCTAGGTTATTCCTAAGTTCATTTCTCTCTTACAGCAGAATAGAAAATGGTATGTGTTAGTATGCATGTATGTGCTCATTTAAAAACAACTGTGTAAGAAAATAAGCCATGTCACACCCTGAAAATTGAACATATAGCTAAAAATTGGGATATGCCTATAAACTTAGTTCCTTTTTTATTGCCAAAGTAGTTTGTAATATTAAGAAAAGGGAACAGAGCTTTGAAGTTTGGTGTCTATTTAATGTTCACTTTAATACGTATAGTTATGTTTCCATATATGCAAATCTTTATTTAAATATACAGTATGGAATTGTTGAGTACTGTTAAATATGCAATATAAACAAATGGGACTCTAGCCTGGATCTATTTTAGTGTGTATATTGCTTGTGATCAAATGAGAAGCTATATTTGGGTGTTTAATATCTTTTCACCAGCAGAGGTCATAGAATTTGTGCTAGATCATGTTTATTATTTTGTGCTTTTCACTAATCTAAAATCTTGGTTGAGGGAGCTGTATGCTTCTGTGTATTAATCTCTTTTTTCCTTCCCATGGTCTCCAGCAATTTGCAGTTTAGGAATGTCATGTTTTATGTGTCATCTGGAATATTATTGTTAATAAAAATGTATATTATTATTTGTTTTGCACTTGGCTTTTCTTTTTTTGCATACTTTACCCAGCAAAGACTATCAATTTGAATAATAAAACGAAGGATTTAGAGATTTCTTCTGTCTTTTGTAACTCCTTGAAAACTTTACTAGACCATTCTGCTATTATTGGGAGCCTTGCTTTTAATAAGCCCTTCATGGTATTGGATCTGGGTACTTGAGAGACCGCCTACTGCCAATTACCTCCACTAGGCCAATAAGATCCCATAGATTAGGCCTTCTCTGAATTCCATCTGCCGGCCAATGTCGACTGGCAACTGCCCGGAGGAGAGCCTTCTCGGTGGCTGCTCCGACCCTCTGGAACGAACTCCCCGTGGAGATTCGTACCCTCACCACCCTCTGGACCTTCCGCGTAGCCCTTAAGTCCTGGCTGTCCCAACAGGCCTGGGGCTAAAGACTCCAACCCCACTCAAATAGTATGACTGTTGTGCTTTTTAATGATGTATTGTCTTCATGTTTGTAACTTGTTTGTCCTTCCCTCCCCCTGAATTGTGAGCCGCCCTGAGTCCCCTCAGGGAAAAGGGCGGCATACAAATAAAGTATCTATCTATCTATCTATCTATCTATCTATCTATCTATCTATCTATCTATCTATCTATCTATCTATCTAATAATCCATACTAAAAATTATCTATTCTTGTGTTTTCCTTTAGTTGCATTCATGGTTCAGGACTTCAGAAAAGAAATTTTCTTTATGCTAGTGATGTAGCAGAAGCATTCCTTACCGTTCTGAAGAAAGGGCAGCCAGGCGAAATTTACAACATTGGGACCAGTTTTGCAGTGTCTATTACCCAGCTTGCAAAGGAATTAATCCACCTTGTGAGTAATAACTAAATTTGAAAATAGGTGACCTGAACAATAGCAGCAAAATGGCCAAGAGTTGACTTGAGCATTTCACTAGGGCAGTTCCTGGTTTTTATTTAAATGTTTGACATTATAAATCTCTTTTTGCTTCAGTTTTTTGGATGTTTGAAATGTTGTAATAATTAAAAGTCATACGACAAACTGCAAGGATAGATCAATATTGTGACACTTGACACTGTGGGGATATAAAGGAAACTACTTCTTTGGTAGTTAGTTGTGGCATTCACACTCCTTCCTCTGGATGTAGATCTTTACCCAAATAATAATAATAAAAAAAGATTCTGAAATTTTCCCCTCAGGGGGAAGATGACTTGTCTGTTATAAAGGCTGGTCCACTGAAATTATGCAATGGGCAGAGGGGAAAGGAAGTCCTGCAGAAATGAAGCTAAAATTTTCAGGATTTTAATTCCTCAGCGTTAACATTTTTATTGTTATAAGATAAAAGAAGACTCAAAATATAAAAGAAAATAGGAAAACGGGGAGGAAGGGGAAAGAAAAGGAAGGATTAAGAGAAATGAAAAGAAGCATTGACTTCCAACTATCTCTGTTGCAGTAAAATAAGGCATTAACATCAACTCATAACAATCCCTTTGTCTGCAACTCTGTGCATGCGCACGCTGGGAACAGGCTCCAGATGTTCGTCTGCTTAAGGACAGTTTTACTCATTGACCCAGATTCTGGTCCCAATTTTGGCTGTACATCAAGGGCTGCCTCTAGTTATCTCTTTTCTACTAGTTGCAACTTTTGAGGTCAAGTAGCCATAGTGAGACTGCCCACAACATAGTTCCACAATAGAAAAATGGGATCATATGTACCTGTTCATGTCTTCCTATTAGATACTTTTTTTTCATCTGTAATTCTATAATATTTAAGTTAGAATATTATGATTGCAAGAATTGTGGTATTAGTCCTGATTAATGTGCATTAATGTCAAATTCATGTACAATAAAAGCTGTTCCAATTATTCATTGAAATATCTATTCAAGGAAGGTTAATTAAATCAAGATTATCAAATATTTAGTTGGTAACATGCATCTTTTCTTCATTGTCAGATTAAAAATACTAGTTCAGAAGCTGAGATAGAACACTGGATGGATTATGTTAAAGACAGGTAAGACTTGAGTAGGCTTCATTTCAAATCATTTGTTAGGATTGCTTTCTTTTTTCTTTATAATCGTCTTAAACATTTACTCTTTGTCACAGAATTAGACACATAACTCTGTCAATTCTGAGAAAATGTGAATACACTGAACCCCAAAGTTGTCTGGCCCGTCCCTTTGTGGGATGGGTTGTTGTATTGAGAAGACAGCCTGGAGCTTTAGTGCATCATTTTTCCTTTCCCAGAGCAGAAAAAATGCAGGGAGGCCTGTAGGAAACTTGGCACATATAGCCAAGATAATCTCCAGCTTTTTGTTAATCTTCCAAAGGGAGATGGGAAGGCATTTCTGCATAATACTAAACTGGTTCTTGGCTACCTCTTCAGTTCTCACATTGAGAGAAAAGCTGTAGTTTGAAACACTCTTTGTCTCACAAATGAAACTAAAGGCTTGTATTGACACCAATTTTCACCAGCCACAAGTTTTAGATTTTAAAAACTGGGAAAGATTCAATCTCTGAAGGGAGAAGCTTTAAATACATTTCTTTGTGTGGAATTGTTTACTTTACAATTCTCTTTTTAACAGTTCTGTTTTATAATTTGTATTTTGTCATTAGCACATTGTGTCACAATAAGGTCTGGTTTCCCCCTCCCCTCCCCCAATTTCTGTTTTATTGCTTCTGGTCTCAGATTTTGTTAATTACCTGCCCCATCTCATTTGAAAAGATTAGCAAAATTACCATCTGCACAGGGATTCTTGAAAAGAAGCGATTTGCAATCAACAGAAATTAAGCATTGTCTATTGATTCTAAAGAATACTGATACTTGGAAATGTTTATGAAGAATGACTCATCTTAATTAAACAATCAGAGGCATTGGGTGCAGTTGGAAAATGAAGAATTAAAAAGTATAAAATCAATTTCGAATGAAAGGGATAATCTGTAAGGATTAGACTACATAAAAGCTTGGAAACATCAAAGAGATGGGGAATTATTAGTGTACATGTATGGTTGTTAGCAGATACTGGATGCTGATTTGGAGATAATTGCCTCTAAAGATTCCAGTGCCATCTTCAACTTTCAGCAGCTTATTGGATACAGAAATTCAAAAAATATCTCACATTAGCTCAAAATTGTTTGGTGTCCCCCCCCCCCCTTTTCACCATCTCTTTAGCCAAAAAATCAAAGGTAGGCACACTTTAAGAATATATAGCCTGATGACTTAGTTGAGACATTTGATAGTTGAGGCATTTCTGGTGTTAAGCAGTATTTGGATTTTCTAGAAGAGGCTGGCTCTTAGAGTTGGAGTTGAATAAATCAGATTTATCCAATAAATTTATTGGACAATAGTTGCTCGAAGCAATGTAATTAAAATACTGCAACACATCTGAGCTTCTTGTAAAACAAACTATGTATACTATCTGAAACATCTTTTTTTGCTCTCTGCTTATTACAGTACAGCATAACTTAAATGCCTCTACTGATAAATGGTGGGAGTAGTATACGAATTTAAGAGTTAAGAGCTAATGTGGGGTCATCTGTGTTAAATTACTTATCCTGAAACTGACTGATGTCTTAAGAAGTAATTTAACTAAAAATGTTCTGAGCATTTCATGAGCTTATTAGAGATGACAAGGTTCAAACATGATTTTCAGGATTTCTTACATTTCTGCAAAATGTTCTTTAATATAATAGCAAAGATCGGGTTTAGCTGTTAAAATCTGATTCTCCAAATTGATTTAAATCTGGCTTAGTATGATTAAGAGCCATGGTGGTGCAGTAATTAGAACGTGGTATTGCAGGCTTTTTATTGAGGAATGCAGCTGAGCTTGTCGATCAGAAAGATCAGCAGTTCGGATCCCTAGCATTGCGTAATGGAGTGAGCTCCCATTACTTGTCCCAGCTTCTGCCAACCCAGCAGTTTGAAAGCATGTAAAAA